GTGACCTCCTAGCTTTTGCTAACAATATGTCTTCCTTGCCAGCCAAGAAAAATCTCTGTTGTCATTGGTTATAAGAGTAGCTCCAAAAGGGTGAGGAATGAGTTCAGATCTAAATTTGGAAAAGTTTGTCTTCCAGAACAGAACAGCATGTATATCACTGAACACATCTTCTCTATCTTCTTCCATTTTCCACAGCGCCCACACCCGGTACATAGTAAGTGCAGCTTTTCTGCAGCAGCTGAGGGGTAGAGGGGTCATGGACAGGAACCCTCAGGGGAATCTGTTTTAGAAAATAAACAACTGTTTCAAAGTTATAAAGTGTTTCAACAGAAGGAAACTGATGCTTTTTATTGAGTCCACCTTTTGCTGATGCGTATAGTTTCATGAGTCCCCACTGTGCCACTTTAAGCCCTCCCGGATGGAAAATTTGTTCCCCTATTATTGTAAGAAAGGTAACGCACTGCTAAGTGCTGTGCATAGCGATAGAACTCTATTAATAATACATGTGTGGAGGTTGGCTAGCAAAGCCGTCTGCTGAAGAGCAAAGAGCTTTGCACTTCAGAGTAGCTTTCCATAATCAATAGTTCCACTCTATTCAATAAAAAATTACCAGAGCGTAAAATGTAGAAACCTGGATCGGTTCCCTTTATTTGGTTGTCTGTTCAGCAAAAAATGACAAGTTAATTCTTTCTAAATGCATTTACAACTTTAAAAGAACAACAGACATTATCATAAATTAGTCATGCTGCAGTAACTAATTTTTAACATACACACATTCAATTTGCATACCTCGTACCAGTGTTTCAAACCCAAGTGTGTTTGCAAAACATGCTTAGTCAAAACATGACCATTAACTAATGCAATTATTCTTTCAATCTGTCCTCATTAAATTACTTAAGATTCTACCCCATGTTACTCTGCTTGGAGTCTAAGCCTTTAGAAGGAGAAAATAAATCTACTCTTTTTAAGCAACTCTAAGCCTTATGAAAGTGACAAAGCCTGCATTCTAAAGGGCAGAACTTGCTATAAAACTCTGATGATCCTGCCTTCCTATTGCTATCAGAATTACTTTAGGTTACATTAATAGGATGGGGGAGGGGTGTTTTAAAAATAGTTGCTAAATGTGCCTACTTTCCTAATTTTGGCTTTGCTAATTTAGGACATCACTGCTCATTACTTCACAGCAATTAATTAATTCCTTACCCTTTCTCCTCTCCCCACTTTCATTTGGAGGATAGTTTGATTGCGGGATTCCTTGGCTTAGCCAACAAAACTCTAAGGAAGATAAGCTGGCTACCATGGGTGATTGAACTTCAGGGCATTGAGCAAGCTTTTCTAATCCAGAATTTCTTTTAAAAAGGGGATGTGCCTGCAACCAAGGTACATGCCCTTGACCGGAATCAAACCTGGGACCTTTCAGTCCGAAGACTGATGCTCTATCCACTGAGCCAAACCGGTTAGGGCTAATCCAGAATTTCTTACTTCCACCATTAGACAATATCTTCCTGAGGCTTAATCTCAGTTTCTTTGTTCAAGCTGTATATAACTCATTAGAATGGTAACATCCTTAATATTAATAACTAGAGGCCCAGTGCACGAATCCTGCAGGGGTGGGATCCAGCTGGCCCAACCACGATGGGCTGATTGGAGCTGGACCTGTGGGGAGGAGGAGATTGGGAGAAGTTGGCCAGCGGGCCTACCCTGATCATGGCCTGATCAGGGCTGGGTGGGCTGGGCGGAGGGGTGGAGGGTGATTGGCCAGCAGGCCTCACCCCCAAATAGGGTAAGGGGGCTGGTTGGGGGTGGGGCCGGCTGTGTGGAGGAGCTGTGGGTGGTGGGCCGGCTTCCCCGACCCCTGAATGGGACTGGGGGAGGGACCAGGGGAGGTTGGCTGGCTAGCCCCACCCCTGATTGGTGTGGTGGGGTGCCGGTTGGGGGAGGAGCTGGCTTGGGGGAGGGGCTGTGGGCTGATGGGGTGGTGGGGGCTGATCAAGTGGGGGGCCAGCCAGGGGGAGGGACTGAAGGAAGTTGGCCGGTTGGCCCCACCCCCTGATCGGGATGGTTCACTGGCCATAGTAGGTGTCATAGCAACCAGTCCTTTTGGGCATTCTGGCGTCCTGGTTGCTGGCTTTATATATATATATAGATAGATGTATAATGTGAATATATTTACTGACCATTCCTTAGGAGTAGGCCAAAAGTATGGGAACATATTATGAAATTGGGTGATGAGTTTTAGGTATGAAAAAATGATTCAGAAAGCAGATTCTACGTAAATGAAGAAAAACTGAGTTCCAGGGTTATACTACATAGTTTCCCTGATGATTGGGTTCTTGTCCCCAGTCCTGGGCTGTCTCACCTCATAATTTAGTGCTGTAATACTCAGAGTAAAATCAGTTTGGGAGAGTCGTTCACTCATCTTTACCTCCCATCCACATCTGAGTCAATAGAAGGTTGTTTCCACCTTCACAGAATGTCCAGAATCTGACCCCTTCTCACCACATTGACTCTGACTGTCCCAGTGGAAGCCACTCTCTGTTTTTCTGGATCAGCAAAGGCCTCTAACTTGTGCCCTCCCTTTCACCTCCTCACAGTCTATTCACTCAGTGGTTAGGGTGGTCCTTTAAAGCTGAAATTGCATCATCATATTACTGCTCTCCTCGAAGTTTTCCAACAATTTCCTAGTGTATTTGGAATGGCTGATAAGGCTCTCTGTACCCTGGCTCTTGACCACACCTCATTTCCTATGATCTACCCATCTTGACTCACCTGTCCCAATCACACTGGTGTCTGTACTTTCCTAGAAATGCCAAGCGCTCTCTCTCCCTGGGATCTTTGTTCTCTCTGCCTAGGAAATTCCTTGCCTGCTTACTCCTGTACTCACCCCGTCATTTTATTCAGAATTCTGAGGACTTCTTTGGGCATGGCACTGAAATAGCTCTCTTCACCTCTCTTCCCTGCATTAGCTGAGGCCATATTGTGTCTTGATGCATTTCTCTGTCTGCCTCTGTAGAAGATAACCTTTCCAAGGTCAATGTCTTGCTCACTACTATGTGTTTCTATTGTCTGCTCTTGTGTGTGGCACATAGTTAGAGCTCAATAATTACTGAAAGAAAGGACAAATGAACACATGGTTAAGTGATTCACTTATTTTTTGGACAGGCCTGTTTCTTTTTCTAGGGAGTCCTGACTTTTACATCCTTCCTGCCTGCAGTCTGTCATACATATATTTATGTTAACAACAATGTCCTTGTATGAATTGTTTTCCCTGTGTATTCAATATTTGAGTTATCAGCATTCCCCTTTTCAGAGGTTTGGGATTCCAGAGTGCCAGAGTTGCTGTACGCTCTCTCACTTATAGTGGGGGCACTTGAGTTATTTTCAGTGACTGGATGATGGCAAGTTTATCTAAGATTCAGAATCAATGGTGAGACATGTGGGGAATTTTTTTGCAGGACCTTGAAACAGCATTTAAAAAAAAAGTCTGCTATAATTTTTAGTGGGAATTTCAACTTTTGTATTTATAGATCCTTTTTTGGGATTATATTTTGTTTCTCTCATTAACTTGTAATTATTTCTTGAATGTACTAAAATCTGACCCAGTGTCACCACAGTGCTCTAATTATAAAATACTTGGCTATAAAATACTCTCAAATTGCTTTTGTGTTTCCAGTGCAAAATGTCATTGGTTAGTTTTCACCAACAGAGGATTTATTGTGTGTGTGTTTTTTTGTTTGTTTTGCTTCAGTCTAGAAAACACTTCCTCAGACCCAGACTAACATTTGATTGTCCTCATAGTGACAAGCCTGATAGCTGAATTTGCTTCCTATAGCCTCTGATCAGCTTTCATTGGTTTGCCATTCACTATTTTAATCTAACAGATTGTCATTTCATTTAGAGGATGTGCTTTAGAATCAGACAGATCTGACTTTGTGTCCTGCTCTTCCACTTACTTAATTATGTGATGTTAGAAGAATTACTAAGCTTTTATGCCGTTTCACCCATTTCTAAAAGGGGGAAATGATAAAAAGGGGGAAAAATATTTTCCTGATAGGGTTGTTAGGAGGATTAAATGAAGTAATGCACCTAAATTTGTTAGTGACTGATCTGCCACACAGTGAGCAGGCAGACATTACTGGTTGTTAACTTGGGGGATATGTTCTGATACCTTAGTAGCCCAAATAAGTTAATGCCTTATCCATCCTGTTCAGCTGAGCCCTTTGACAAGAGCAAATGGCTCCTATGCAGTCATATTGGTAAGGCACTGTGAGGATGATCTAATTTCATTCATTTCATGGCCCTGTACTCTACTTGAGGCATTTCCACAATCGATTTCAAAGTATTGCTCATTCAGAGGAGGTAGGACTCTGGCCTTTGAGAATCCCCGAATTTCCCTCCTGAGCAGAAGGACAAGATGAGGATGTGTTGAAAGGAATCCGAGTTGGGAGAGAGAGTGGGAAGGACCTGGTCTCTGGCACAGACTTAGCCGTTAAAGGGAGTGTCCCAGACGGTGGGAAAGCCAGGTTGTTCAGAGACAGCAGGATGTCGCTGCAAGGGCTTCTAAAGGAGAAAGTGAAGCTGAGTGAACTCCTTTGATGTCTCATTCTGTCAGATCCTGGAGACACTTGCCCAGGTCGGTGGAGTTCAGGATGACCGGTTTGCATGACGGCTGGGGGATTTGTGACTAAACGGAGATAGTGCTTTTGAAAAAATAAAGATAAAAGGATGAGAAAAGACTATGAAATGACCCTCATTTTCAAAAGGAACCGAGAAGTCCTTTCCTGGCATGCTTACTCCTCTGCCACTTGCTGGGTGGTGGTTTCTCTGAAGTGGTAAGCTATCTCTGAGCCACAGTGAGAAATGTCTTATATTTCTTTAGAGAATTTGTCATTTGCGACTGAATGGAATTTGTGTGTCTTTGCTTAATGAGCTACCAACAGCGTTTTAGTTACCTTATACAAAACTAAAGTCATTAAACTTTCCTTTTCATTTTTCTCTAGAATGACTTCCAAAGTTCCTCCATGGCTAATTCTTGTAAGATCATGGGAAATGAATCGAAAAGGCAACTCATACAGCCAGGGCCATTCCTCTCACACAAGCGAACAGATGACTGTGACTTGCTGTAATTCTGCACATTATTTCTTTTATTAGTATGCTCTTTGCCGAACTTTAGTTGCTGGAAGTTGCACAATGACAGTCCTGAGTCCCTAATATTAGGACTATTGATACAATCAATGAAATCCTCATACATAAAATGTGAATTGTGTGTGTATGTGTGTGTGTTTCCTGTGGCAGCGAGTGGGCAAAAGGCACATGTGAAGGACATAAGAAGAAAGGGAATCAATATTTATTCAATATTTATTACATGCCAGGTTCAACATTTGTGTTATTACTCCCATTTTACAGATGAGGAAACAGAACTGGGCCAAAGTCACTTGACTAGTAACTAAGTGGCAAGTCCTAGGTCAGTTGGACCCTGAGGCATGCTGGTCAGCTCCACCACACTACCCTCTTTTTGCCTCTTATTTGCTGTCATAGGAGCTGGGGGTCAGCTCACCCCCTCCTTAATAGCCAGAGAGCTCTTCCAGGGAACCTTGGTAGGAAGAGGGTTTGAAATGAGGACTTATAACCATCCACTGCAGCACACCCCTGCATCATTGTGTCTTGACCTTGAATACAGAGCCACCTGTGCCCTAAGGCTCAGAGGCAGGAGGAACTAGCCTTGGCTTGAGTGGCCATAGAGAATATGAGTCAGGAGGCAACTCTGAGCGAGCTAGGAACGGCTTAGGAGCTTCACCCCTGGAGAAGGACTACCTCTGGGGAGAACCAAACTTTTCCCGGTCTCTCATGCCGAGGAATTAGGAAGGTATAATTGTCTATGTTCACTGGCATAAGCAGGACCTACATTCTGTTCTCTAAACACTTGCCCAGCCCACTCATTTCCAAGCCTTGAAAACCATATGAAAGTGAAGTAGCAAAGCAGAGGGAGAAGAGTTGTGTTATAACAAATTGCAATAGTTTATGCAAATCTTTCTTTAGTGGGCTTTTCACAAGACTAATGATTCTTGGGCTTTCAAGCCTTTTATTTTTTTATTATTTTTTTAATCCTTGCCCAAGGATATTTTGATTTTTAGAGTGGAAGGGAGAGACGAAGGGGGATAGACAGAGAAAAACATCGATGTGAGAGAAACATTGATTGGTTGCTTCCCACATGTGCCCTAACCTGGGCCAGGGATGGAACCCTCAGCCAAAGTACCTGATAGACTGGGAATTGAACCCTTAACCCTTTGGTGTGCAGGCCAACACTCTAACCACTGAGAAAAACTGGCCAGGGCTTTCAAACCTTGTAGAATAATGACATCTATTATGAGGAGTTCAGTCATCATTAGGTTTTCTTAGAGATTCGTCTCCTGATTTCAACATCTGTTGCTTGATTTAAATTTTATTCTTTCCATCAGGCCTGAGCCTTGGTGACACGTGCTTATTTTATCATCATTTGTTTTCTTTTAAACAATCACAAAGCTGAGAGTTTTTTCCTGAAATCTGATATGGGATAGCAGATATGAAAATGTTCTTAGGTTTCATTTATTGTCCCAGAAGTTAATGATTCTGTTGGTATTTATGTGAATGCCATGGAATTATATTAATACTGTGGGTTTGGGGAATGCTGTAGTAACCTGTAAAAGGAAATTCTGTCTGAAATAGTTTTTCAGGTATGAGTGTAGTGTTGTTACGATTGTTTTGTTTTCTGCCAGATGTATACAGAGTCCATTGTGTTTTCATTCCTTATTTGAGTGTGTGTTCATGTATGTATGTTTTTCTCTTAGTATGTATCTTAACTAGTTATAAGCCACAGGATATATTGCTAAGTAAGTGTAAATAACAGCATGTCAGCACATGTAAAAAAGGTACCCATCAATTAAATAAAGGGGAATTTCATTAATTCAACTTTTTAATATGTGCAACCTTCCTCCCAGTAGGGTCAAACAGGTAGAAATACTTTCCTTTATCAAGAAAGTTAAAAAGTTGGAGGTCATTTCAGTCCATTAAATTAATATATTCCCAGCTTCACACATTCAAACAGTATCCTATTCATTAAAAGAAGAAAGGCCAAATTTCACACCAAGTTTTCTAGAATTTTGTGAAATGAGGCCCCATTACAAGTGCAGCTGCTATGAATGAGGCTCATGTGGTTTCCAACTCCTCCTAATTCTTTACTCTTATAGCTTCAAGGCTGAGGACATTCTAGTGTTTATCCATAGTTCCTTCCTTAACCTCATCTGGTTAGGATGGTTTTTCTCTAGGACATAAAAGGGATTTAGTGTTCCACGCCAGTGGACTTCCTTACCTATAGGCAATGATTTGGCCCTAGAAAGAGAGATTATTATGCACACTTGGTGTCATGACTTAAGTTTTCTTTAAAATTTTATATTTTCCTTACTTCTTCTTCTTCTTTTAAATAAATCAAACCAAACAGGTATTCCTGGAGGACTTCTGAGTGGAAAGAATGCCAAGTCTCTCTCCTCCTCGAGCAGCAGGACCCCCACTGGCCTGTGACGGGAGCCGTGTGTGGAGGTGGGATCCAGACCCGGGCGGTGTACTGTGCCCAGAGCACACCAGCATCCACCGCACAGAGGGCCAAGGAAGGTAGGCAGCCAGTTCCAGGGACAGATGGTGCCACTGCCTGAAGGGAGATAGACTCCAGCCTTCTCTCCTCAGATTCTTCTGGATGCAGTGGACCCTCAGCATTCACACATTTCATATTTGTTTTGTTGACTATTTGCAAATCATTCCTATATTCTGCCACTTTAATTTGGAATAGTTAAAAACAATAGCAGTAATAAAAACAGCAGCCTCAAAGGATCATTGTGAAAGATCCTAACTGACTCACTCCACACTCAGAGAGGCTGGAGTAATGAATAATAGTATTGTTTTGTTTTGTTTTGTTTTCAAGAGGTTTTTGGGCGTGTGAGTTTGTGAATGTGAAAATTTCTGCAGATGTATCACTTTTAAATGTTAAGGTCAATGTCAGTTTATTCCCAAATTGACAATTTTAAATGTTATGAAAAGCAGGAGGAGAAGAAACAATTTCTTCCATGGTAGGCTTTCTGCTGGGCAGGTGCAACCTCAGCACTGGTCCCTTTGTTTCAGAGTTGGAGACAGTGATAACATATAGAGACTGAAAAACTGGCCCAGACTTCCTTAGTCAATTGACTGAAAAGCCGAGAGTAGACGATATGCTTCTACCCTAGAAGAAGGTGTGACATATCCCAACCACAGCAGTGCCCTCTGCTGAAGTGGTCAAGGTGGGGATGCTTTCTTGGGTGTGCGCATGCATTCTCTCCTGTGGAATTTAGTTAGGGAGGTTAGATCTGAGCTTTCTTGCTATGGAAATGCATCCTTTTTATCCTGTCAAGCTTTTCCTACCAGGTGTCTTTTTTTTTTTTTTTTTGACATGGCCTTTTATTGTTCCAGGGGCTTCTGAGAACACAGCCTTTGGGTGATGGTCCTTATAACTCACAGAGGAATCTTTACAGACTCCTGAGCATTTATTTCAACAATTGAAGTTACTTCCATATTTACAGGGCAAGATCTATTTTAAAAGTGATAGTTACATTTTAATAAAAATTTTTAAAAGTGATAGTAAATTTTTCAAAGTGACAATTTACACACGTTCTGGTCCAGGACAAAACATGACTATGCTTACTCCTCTAAACTTGGAAGAACAAGATTGATGAAAAGTTCCAGCTTTTTCTTCCAGACCTTGGTGATCTTTCTATTTCACCTTCTTCTTCTCCCCTTTTACTATTGTCTTGAGTTCTAGGGTATTCAGGGTCCACACATAAATGAGAATTTATGACCAATTTTTAGCTTCAACTTTTAATCTTCTTTTGACAGTTTCATCTTCCTACAGTTTCTTTAGTGAAAATAGCTTTAATTATGGATCACCTATTTCTAAAATTTCTTCAACTTTAATCTTTCCAACATTCTTAATAGAAACATCTTGGGTAGGAAGATTATAATTAGGAAGAGATGAATGAATGGTGTTCTAGAGCTGAGCATGACTTGCAAGCTAGGCGGTTCAAGAGAGGAGGGGTATTAAAGATATATTTTGCAGCCTATTAAACCCTGCTACCATATGCTTCAAGCATGTAATGAAGAGGAAAAAGTCTAAGGCCAAATTACACTTTCAGATTAGTATGCTGGTTCACATGGAAACAAAAAAAGTACTTAGAAATCCCTAAGCCTGATAGCCCAGTTCTCAGAGGGGTAAAGGGTTGGAGGGGTCTTAGATGTGGGGACAAGATATAAACACAGTGATGCATACCAAGACCATGTACTCTTGTGCAAAGTTGAACACAGAGTCAAACTATTGCTGCATTGGAAACACAACACAGTCACAATTGCATTAAAAGCATGGTGTAGCTTACTACTTACCTTTGTAGACATTAACAAAGGTTTTTATTTTGCTCTTGTATGGAAGTGAACCAGAAAGATTGTTCAGCCATCACTTCCCTTTCTTATAAATTCTTTCCTGTCCTGCTGTTATCGTTTATAGATATGCCTTGACAAAGCTGGCAACATGAGAATTTCTTCCTTGGCTCAAGTTAAACACGAGAGAATAATTGAATTGCCATTGAATGGGACCAATGGAGTGTTTTTCCCCAATTAAAGTGACACAATTTAAATATTTCTAACCTTTTCAGCTAATGCAGGAAGAAGGCCAAAATTGATGACAATTTTGCATTTCAGTTTTTGTGAATGTCTTTTTTATGATTATTATTATGTTAGGTTTTGGAGAAAGAATTTTAATAGCATCGATTTTGGAAACTCTTTTCGCAGTCACAGCTGACTTTCCCAGAAGGTTGATTTCTCCTTAGACTCCAGGATAGTCTGTTCAGTCTCTGCAATGGAATTATTTGACGTTTTCCCCACAAAACTCTGTCATTCATTGTGAATTAGCTGTATCGCTTTCTAAGAGCCTGATCTTAGACCAATCCACAATCCTGGGGGATGATGAGGGGGAGGTAAAAAACACAAGATTCATTTCTATGGGTCTCTCATGCAATAGAATTTCTAAATGCTAGAATGGTGATTGGGGAAGAATGCTAATTCTCTCCTTAAGGCTCCCATGTCTCTTGCTGAGGCTGGACAATGAGACTGAATTGTGTTCTGTGGAAACTTATTCTTGCTGATGTCCCAGTATCCATTCGACCTCAATTCATGGTGTTTGTAAGGATAGTATAAGAACAGCTGTGGCATATTTACCTGGTTCTATTCTTCAGGGTTCATGTAATGTTTTAGCTGCAGTCAAAATAGTGCTGTAACAATCAATATGAGAAGTATTACCAGTGATAGCAGCCAAGTCAATAGTTTTGGGGATAAAAATATAGAGGGTTATTTATGATTTTGTTTACCACTTATTGTTGTGTTTTTCTTTGATAAGAGAAGCACTAATAAGAGTGATGTTTACCTGCAAGTCTAAAAGCTTATATTTGGTGAGGCCATTTTCTTTTTGCCCTTTTCTCAAATGAAATTAAAGCCACTTAGCCTGCATTCAAGGATGATTTCTCAGAAGGTAAAACATTGAAACAAGGAACACACCTCTAAAATCTAATAAAGACTGGGACAGATTTAATCAAGTTATGACAATGTGGCCTAGGGCCTGGAATATCAACAAATATGGAATGAAACAGCATAGAAATAGAATGCATTCATTAGGTGAAAAAAGAATGAAACCAAAAACTCTACAAAAACTAAATAAAAATTGGGAAAAGGAATTGGTGTGGTTGCAGTTAAGCAGAACACTACCTGTTTGTTTGTTTTCAAATTTCAGATTTATTACTTGACATTAAATGGACAAAGCTATTTTGAAAATGGAGCACACTTTAGCTTTGAATTGTTGAATACATTAGTTCACCCCTATACTCCAGTAAGACTCAGTAGTTCCTGAGAGTCCTAAGTCTTTTTCATGCTGGGCTCAGACTTGGTATTAAGGGAGAGAATAATCAGATATGGGAATGGCTTGGAATTCTGAGCACTATGGGAAGATATACAAATATATATATATATATAGTATAACTAGTGTATGCAAGCTGAATGTGTTTTGGTTCTGGGTTTTAGATCTGACTTGTTTGGTACTTTGATAAACCACATTAGTGTTTTTCAAGTCTTCTAGTTCATTAAATTGGTTTTAAATATACTGATGATGTCAGTTAAAGGTGGATGACAATGATACATTCATACTATTTAAATAATTTATATGCAGGTTCGATCTCCGGTCAGGGCACATGCAAGAAGCCAAACAATGAATGCATGAATAAATGGAACAACACATCGAAAAATAAATAAATAAATAAATAAATAAATAAATAATTTATGTACAGCTATGTTTTAGGGTATTATTATCAAGGTACCCTTCATTAATTTATAGACTCTTAATTGGAATGAACAATTGAATGAACAATTAGGATATTGTGTCTTAATAATGTGCCCATCTATAATAATAAAAGCATAATATGCTAATTAGACTGGACATCCTTCCTGATATCCTTCCTTCCAGATAAAGCCAAGGAAACGGGGGCCATGGCAGAGGTGGCAGAGGCCCCCGGCTGTGGTGGCAGCAGGCGGGGCCAGGGCCATCACCTTTTCATTAATTTCATGCATCAGGCCTCTAATTATATATATGTGTGTGCATACAGGGTGGGGGTAAAAGTAGGTTTAAAGTTGTTCATATGGAAAATAATATAATCTATATATATAAAAAGCCAGCGACCGTAATGCCATAACAACCAAACGACTGGTCACTATGACACCCACTGCAGCCAGCGAACTGGCCTGATGGCGGGGTGGGGCCGCTGGCCAATCTCCCTTGGCCTCTCCCCCTAGTCGGCCCCACCCCTGATTGGCTTCTCCCACTCTGATCCAGGGCAAGGCAGCTGGCCAATCACTCCAAAGCACTTCCCCCTGGCCATACCTGCCCCTGATGGGCCCCCACCACCTCGATCAGCCTGCAGCCACTCTCCCCTGCTGGCCTCACCCCTGATTGCCCCCCTACCCCAATAAAGGCGTGGCAGGGCGGCCAACCTCCTGTAGCCCCTCCTCCTGCCCGGCCCCACCCCAGATCAGCTCCCACACCTCAATCAGGAGCAGGGCCACCAGCCAACTGCCTATGGCCCCTCCCCCGGCTGGGCCCACCCCTGATAGGCCCCTATCACTCCAATCAGCCTGCGGCCCCTCCCCACAGCCAGCCTCTCCCGCAGTCAGCTCCCACCACCCCATTGGCCCATGGCCCCTCCCCCCAGCCAGCTTCACCTCTTATGTGCTCTGCCACACCAATCAGGGGTGGGGCTGGCTGGCCAATCGCCCTTGGCCCCTTCCCCCATCCAGCCTGGCTCTGATCGGGCCTTGATCGGGGTGGGCCAACCAGCTAACCTCCCACCATCTCCTCCTCCTGACAGGCCCCGGCCCTGTTCTGCCCTGATTGGGACTGGGCCAGCCGGACCCCACCCATGCATAAATTCATGCACTGGGCCTCTAGTGGTAAATGATAACAGAAGAATAAACTCTATGCTTTGCATACTCACAACTGTAGACCTACTTTTGCCCCACCCTATGTGTGTGTGTGTGTGTGTGTGTGTATACCA